GCAGACCAGAGGAGAGACGAGAGAGAGAGAGAGAGAGAGAGAGAGAGAGAGACGAGAGAGAGAGAGATGACTACATGTCTTATATCTAAAAAGAGCTGAGATGTGCAGACAAGTAGAGACAGTCGACACACAACCGATAATACATTAATGCAAACGAACACAAAAACATTGATTGAACGATACCTTCAATTTATTTTTATCACATTTCCCCGATTCTTGACTCTCTCTCTCTCTCTCTCTCTCTCTCGACCTTACATATAGTGAAAAAGCACTTTAGTTTCCCAATAGATTATTAACTGATCCTTATTTAAGACCTTTTGAGTTCAATAACGAACTCCACTCTCATATGCGATGCCAACAGAAGTTTTTTGTATAGAAAACTAAAATTACAACAAAAATATCTAATTTTCTAAAACATAAAATTCAAATTAATTTTTTCTGGTGAAAAGCCCAACAGATTTTGACACAAAAAAACAAAATATTCTCATCAAACAAAAAAAACACCACACTTTTTGCATACATATTTGACTATACAGTTAATGTAAATATAATTTTTAAACCGTTGACTCGTATGAAGTCTAAATATTTAATATCCTATTATATTCGTGAATAAATATTTTATGAGTTAAGGCCTGCTATGATGTAGGAGTTAATCATACAAATTGAAACACCAAATGAAAACAACAACCAAATCAACACTAGACTCGAGTATGTGATGAATAAGTTGTCGTTTTGTTTGTATAATTCACTTCTTTAAAGTTAGTTTTTGTTTCTATTATTTCTCGTTGAGACACATATTTGCATATCTTTCAGCCCTTAACCGTTTCAGCAAAATAAACAATAGAAATACTTTTTGTTTAACATATTTTGCATATTATCTGTATATCTGTATATACAATGGATTATAGGTATCGAAGCAATCATTTTTCTAAATGTTTTTACTTTTTCTAATCGCTTATTCAAACATTTAATGTAAGAAATAATTTCCAGGGATTTAAAAATCTATTTTGCAAGATATCATCTAAAATAATTTGCTGTAAATGTATTTTTGTCTGAATTTTATTTAAAATTAATTTTACTCTATATTTTGCAATCAATATTACAAATACCTCGATTAATAAATTATAATTTAATTTGTCATTATTAGACAGAATTTATTAAATAATTTCGATGTCTTAAATTAAAATAAAGTTTCAAACTATTATTTATTTATAACAAAATTTCATTAATAGGAAATATTTTACATTAAACACTCCAACATATTTTGATATATTAATATTGTGTCGAAAATATGTTTTTATGCAAAAATTCATTTATTAATTACCAAACAATTTATATAACTATTTTTGCCCTAATTTCACTCCACATCTCAATGCATGATAAATACACAAAATATTAAATTAAATGAATGTATTGTTTATGAATAATCTCTAATACTATGTGTGTGTGCATAACATTAATGGACAGAAATGAAATAAATAATATTTATATCGATATTTACTCTAAGTATGTAATGTTTTTCATTGCACAACCAATTTTTTGTCACATGTCATCACTGATGGTAACACAGATCCACTCCCTGTGCCAATGTTTTTGCCACTTAATCCTTAGCTCTGAAAGCATTTGACACATTCTGTAATTACTTAATGATTATGTCTTTCATTTACGGCTACACCATAGCCGGGAATACACCTAAAAACAACAGGCGAATAACGTATTGACAGTAAAAATATGTTAATTATTTCTATAATATAAACACACAGAAAGTTGATTATAATTAAATCAACCATCAGTTTGCTATAAATGGGATGAGGGTTATACACAGTATATTTATAGCTAACATTTGATATATGAGTTCACGCTTTTGTTTTCATATTTATATAACTTTTTTTGTCAGTCGACCCAAAATGTAACTCAATATTAAAATGTTATGAAATATTCTTCAAGTGTTTGAATTATTGAACACTGAGTTCGCTGTATATTATTAGTTATAATATTTTATACTATACATCCCTGTTTCCTATAGTTAAGGAAATTCTTGCTTTCTATTTATATTTTATTTAAAAATATATTTTTGACTTTTATTTGTTAAGAAACTAAAATATATTTTGGTAAAATATACGGTAGTTATGGTGTGTGTGTGTGTGTGTGTGAGAGAGAGAGAGAGAGAGAGGGAGAGAGAGAGAGTCGTAAATAAAGGTTTATGCGTTTTTCTCAGTCATAGTCCTCGAGAGAAATGAATAAGAAATACATTTTTGTGTACAGTATTTGTCTCTATGTATGCACAGTTAGCATTACAAGTATGTTATGTCAGAGGCTTTAATATCTAATAACAAGCCATGGATGTGCCTCAAGACACTTATGCTTATATGCCCTCTTGTATCGTATAATTCATATCCATGTGAATACATACACACAGAATATTCTGATAAGTTTATGTGTAGCCAAACGGCTAAGCCCTCTCATACCTGGCCTCCCGGTTCTCTTTCCAAATAATGATTATATAAGCTTTTGTGGCGTTCACTCCAAATGTATGGCTTTATCCGGCGCTCAGAAAAACAATCGATTGCTTCCAGAACTGAGCCCAACGTTTGTGTTGATACACACAACCAGTACAGCCTTTTGCAGCTAACTGTCCACTCTATGTCTCCAGTCGTCAGTTATGTCTTCAAAACAATAATATTTATAAATTTAGCGCAAGTTATTGACTGCGGGCTTATGTTATGTCAAATGTCATACCAATACTATAGCCAAAAGAGACCGCAATTTTGGTCTTACTCTTAATGATCACTATATTTAGACTTATATTAATAGTCTTATGAAAACAATCATTAAGTTTGCCGTTTGTGTATCCATTTGAGTCCTATCTTTGATTTGCTAGAAATTAATTATTAATTAAAAATTACGATAAAAAATAACATTAATGCCGTTATTCAGTAAATCAATGCTTTTATTGGCATAAAAACGATTGAATTGATTACCAATCGATTGAATACTGTTTTCAAATGTATTGTATGAATCCCTTGGATATTATTGAATCCGCTTTCCATTAGTATTTGTTTTCTTATTTTTTCATAAACTGTGCCCAAAACTCACACATCATATATAACGATGGCATAGGTTTTGTGTTGTATCCCTGCAAATGCCATAAACATTACAATAAAAGTTTAGGGAAACAAACAGTGAGAGCGAGAAAACTGGAGACCAAACCCATCGGGAATGTTTCAGTCGTTTTCTTAGTCTTTAGGATATTTTTCTCGAGACATTCAATGAGCAGATAGAGAGTGAGAGTCGAGTCTCCAAAATACAAATACAGATAAGCATTCTTTGGAGAGAGAAGTTTTGCAACTCTATTGACATGAATTTGGCTAAACTTGAAATATGTTGAACATCTCCCGGAGCCCCCACTACAGCCATAGCGCATGTGTTTTTGGATGCGATCCGTACTCGAGATGCGAGTCAACTGCAGCACCGCTTCGCTCGCAGTCTATGCACTACTCTATGCGCTACAGTCGCGCGGCAGTCGACGACTACACCTCGCATTCCTGTGCTCTCTCTTCCATCGGCTTTCCACTCGTTTTATATATAGTTTTTGCGGACATAACTTCTCATAACTTATTGTGTGTTCAGCACTGGTGTGTAACCGTACATAATGTTAATGTGAGGCCACAACCACTGCCGATGCATACAAGTTGTGCTGAGGAGAGTGAGAGAGAGAAAGTTATCATTTATGCAAAGGGATTGTTATTATGATTATTATTATTACACTCTTAACACTAATTTCTGAGAGAGAAAGTTATCCATCAGTGGGTTGCGTGTAAAGTGTATTACCAGTTGTGGTGATGTGTTGTTAGTAGTGGTGGTGTTATACTATATGTGTGTTTCACCATAAACTATACCATACATACACTTTCACTTACCTTGTATTTTAGTGATCAGCAAATTGTGTGCTCTAACCGCTAGCACTCACTATCGCAATACTCTAACAGCAAATTTAAACCAAAAACCTCTGAATATCGTATATATATCTTAGTGTTAAGTGCGAGAAGTGACTGAAGTTTTTGTGTTTGTGGTTTTGCTTTCACTTTTCACACAACGAGTCGATTGAGTGGTTGGGAATCAACACAAAAAAATCGACAAAAAGAAATTGATATCTATTTTTGTGTCGGTTTTTATTAAAACCAATTCATTCGCACACATTTGAGGGCCTAATTTCTCGCGTGGAGGGCCTGTATATAAGTTACATAAGGAGTTGTCGTCACATTTCCCTAACGGTGCTGATTGATTGCCGGATCGATATGAAGTATTATACCCATCGCGTACAATTCATTTTTATTATTTTCATTACTTTCCAACAAATAAGTAATGTTTCAAATTATACAAAATCCAGTACCGATCGGGCGATTACACGTAAGGGTACTTTATATCTATAACTACTACTACTACTACTACTAGTAGTAGTCCCAAATGCAATCCGATTCTCGAGTTTTATTTTTATTGATATATATTTTTTCATATTTCACATTATATTCCGCGAGAATCAGACATTATATCACAATCTCATTGTGTTGTGTATTATTTATGGCTATAAACGCTTTTGCATTAAAAATTTGTGTGTGCGCTCATTATATGGTGTCTGACTTTCCATACCCGTCCACATCCGTTAATTAACACTAAATTAACCCCTCATCTCAAATTTGGTCATAATTTTGTTTAATTATTATTAATTTTGTAGACTTTATGCGCGCCAGAGATATAGCGTAATGACTGCACAGTGTATTAATTATTTTTCAACACCAAATTCATACACCAAAAAAGTACACATTGTATAATTATTATAATCATAATTGCAATACAGTTTTAAACCATTATATAAATTAACTCATATATTGAGATATAATATTAGTATTTGAGAGATAATTTTGAGGCCAAAAATCCGCCAACACTTGACTGAATGCTAATGTTTTAGCAGATGTTTCACTCAATAGTATTTTTATGCCATGAGTTTTGATAATCATTTTGATGCCCATAATTACAGTCATTTTATGTGCGGAATTAGATTTATTGACCAATTATCTAGCACATATAATTGATATTTTTTTTCTCATTTTATGCGATTACTATAATACATCTAAATTGTATTTTGTTTTGTCATTTCCATAGCCCTGTCGTGCGACCAGACGTTTGATAGTCGGGTGGCGAGGAATGGCACGTTCACGTCGCCTAACTATCCCGACCCATACCCGGCTAATGTCCACTGCTCTTATCATTTCAACGGCCAGGGCAAGGAAAGAGTGCAAATCTTGTTCACCGACTTTGATCTCTACCGGCCCGACGACACCAGTCGAGAGTAAGTCCTAACAAAAAAATATTATAATTAGAAATAAGTACAGAATTTACAATAACTAGAAATAATTACACACAGAATCCGTAACTACACGCCATTACTAGAGCCTATTTTTTGCAATTACTTCCTTCAATAAACTTTAATATGTATTAAATGAACACAATTTTACATTACTTTAGCCCTCAAATGCAATAATAACAGTATGTTTTGGACGTAAAAATAGGCAGAAATCTAATAATGTATCGAAATGTTGTTTAGCCTGAGAAATATGTTTTAGTATATTTTTGTAGTATTTTTTATATATTATTTTGTAAGTACTCGCCGTAACGTTCAGTCAATTGAAACAAATT